CCGTGTCTCCGTGTCGCCGTGTCTCCGAGTCTCCTCCGTGTCTCCGTGTCTCCGTGTCTCCGAGTCTCCGAGTCTCCGTGTCTCCGTGTCTCCGTGTCTCTCGAGTCTCCGTGTCTCCGAGTCTCCGAGTCTCCGTCTGTCTCCGAGTCTCCGAGTCTCCGTGTCTCCGAGTCTCCGTGTCTCCGAGTCTCCGAGTCTCCGTGTCTCCGAGTCTCCGTGTCTCCGAGTCTCCGAGTCTCCGAGTCTCCGAGTCTCCGTCTCCGAGTCTCCGAGTCTCCGTGTCTCCGTGTCTCCGAGTCTGTCTCCGTGTCTCCGTGTCTCCGAGTCTCCGTGTCTCCGTGTCTCCGAGTCTGTCCCGTGTCTCCGTCTCCGTGTCTCCGTGTCTCCGTGTCTCCGTGTCTCCGAGTCTCCGTGTCTCCGAGTCTCCGTGTCTCCGAGTCTCCGATGTGTCTCTCCGAGTCTCCGAGTCTCTGTGTCTCTGTGTCTCTGTGTCTCTGTGTTCAAAAAGTTCCCAGAGTTTCCCCCCGCCGCTGCAGCAGTGTGACGTGAGTGTGGAGAGTCTGAGTTTTGTCCCACAGTCCTGCTGCTCCTGTGGAGAAGTAAAATCCAACACGAAAACGCCATCATCCACAAACTACAGCGATATGTTCCAAATATCGTCGCTTCACGGTCCTGACAGCTCCTGACACGTGTCCAAATCACCGTGTGACGTCACACACTCTGCACGTGTCCATGTGTGTCCCTCTCACCTTAAATCCCCGTGAGTCTGGAGAGAACGAAACAAACAAACTGATACGACCTAAATAATAATGACACACACACGAAAAGAACCAGACACAATAGATAATATTAACAAATAAACATTTCACCTCAGAGTGAACAGAACAGTGAGGACCAAAGTGTCTTTACAACATAAACAAGAGTTTGAAGATTTGTGAGTAAAAGTGACGTTTGTTTCACTTTGACTCGTGTCTGGAAACAATTGAAAACCAAAAACTTCAACACTTTGAGTCATTTGAGTCACTTGGACTTTCAGAGGAGTTTTTTAGCACCATTCAGTTACTTCTACTTCAGTCATGTCTTTATGGAAGTAACAATACTGAAGTACTTGAGTAATATACAGTACAGAGTAAAAGTACTCTGATACTAATACTCTTATTTCAGGTTCTGTCACGTTCATCAGAATGATAAATCAGCAGTGTTGGGGAGTAACAGATTACATGTACCGCCGTTATGTAATCAGAGTACAAATTATGAGTAACTGTATTCAGTTACAGTTACTGTTTCAATGAGTGGGAATTGGATTACAGTTACTTTGCTGAAATAAGTGGATTACAAGGCGGTATTTTCCTGTTTTCACATTTTGTGCTACATCCCATTTATTTATTTTTTTATTTCGGTAATTTCACTCATTGCCTGAAACCCAAACAGAACGCGCGTAATAAGAGCGACGTAAACGTCATGTTAAAGTTGGCGGTGTCAGTCACACAGTGGAAGCAGCAGTGCATTGGTAAAAACGCATTTGTGTCTTGGAAATTCTTCTCCCGATGTGAGATATATATAAAAAAAAATAAATATAAAATCGCCTACAACTTAAAGGGATAGTTCAGATTTTTTGACATAAATCTGTGTGTCATCCCCGTCATCAGTGTTGTGCATCCACACCGACTTACCCCCGAAAGCGTCCGGTGAGCCGAGATACTGGCCCGTTTTGGTGCTGAGGAAAGTAGTTTGGCAAGTTGTGTGGGGACTGTTTACTAAAGCGTTTTTCTTCTCAAAGCAACATGTGTTCAAAAGAGTGACACATTTGCATCACAAAACCATCGTCGCCAAAAAAGTCAGATCTCATAATCGCTTAGCGCTATTTTCTCTCCGTACGTACCACTGCGCACGGCCGCCAGGTGACAGCCGCACACCGATCCATCACTTTCTTCAGTTGTTCGGCAGTGTTTACATGCGCAGACGCCGCCACGCGAGAGAGCTAACGAGAGAGCTAACGAGAGAGCTAACGAGAGAGCTAGAGCCAGAAGTATATGAGCTTGTATAAGATACATATGAATATATCTAAAAAATGGTGCGAACTCTTGATTCTCCAGGCTGTAACAACAAAAATCTGGCTGAATCTCCACACACATTTCACTGTTTTCCTGTCACGGACTTTGCGCTGAGGAAACTTTGGCTTCTTGTCTTTGGCTTCAATGTGGAAACTAAACCAGGTAAGAACGAAGAAGTGCCGCTACGTTTACAAGAGAACAGGTTCAAGAATCAGCTGTAACTCTGTGTGCAGTAAATCACTCAGTGTCATATCACCAGTGAAGCTTCTACAAAACATAACTTTATAAGTCGACTGTTATTACTATTGTAAATGTCGCGTACACTGTTGGCAGCAGCTACGTGGACGTGTGGATGATTCTATGTTTCTATTAGTCGTCCATGCTTCAGTCACAGTGGAGGCTCTATGTTCGCTGTATACGAGTTTATAAATGACGTGATGGTGATTGTCGCTCACTCGGTCTCTCACGGCTCCAGCTTCAACTTGTACCACTCCTCTGTCTTTTCTCTCTCTGCTCGTTCTAACTCCATCTGGTGAAATTCGGCATCAGTATATTCGGGTTCACAAAGATCTCCCCTTGGGTTTGTGGTAAAGGCAAAGTCTTTATTGTCGGTGTCATAATCAGACATGTTGTCGCTAACATTCCGAGCAGTAAACAAAGTGAACCAGGCTCATATACTTATGGCTCTAGCTCTCTCGTTAGCTCTCTCGTTAGCTCTCTCGTTAGCTCTCTCGTTAGCTCTCTCGTTAGCTCTCTCGCGTGGCGGCGTCTGTGCATGTAAACACTGCCGAACAACTGAAGAAAGTGATGGATCGGTGCGCGGCTGTCACCTGGCGGCCAGCGCGCAGTGGTACGTACGGAGAGAAAATAGCGCCAAGCGATTATGAGGTCTGACTTTTTTGGCGACGATGGTTTTGTGATGCAAATGTATCACTCTTTTGAACACATGTTGCTTTGAGAAGAAAAACGCTTTAGTAAACAGTCCCCACACAACTTGCCGAACTACTTTCCTCAGCACCAAAACGGGCCAGTATCTCGGCTCACCGGACGCTTTCGGGGGGTAAGTTGGTGTGGATGCACGACACTGATGACGGGGATGACATACAGATTTATGTCAAAAAATCCGAACTATCCCTTTAAATGTGAAACAGGAGCTACTGGCACTGGTGAAAACAACCTGCATAGACTCATAATATCTGCACTACTGTCATATACACAAACACACACACACACACACACACAAACACACACACAACACACACACACACACACACACACAAACACACACAAACACACACAAACACACACCTTCATCATCGTCATCAACCTGAGAACCCGCGGACCACGTCTCCTTCCGTAGTTACAGCGCGGACACCGCCGTCTCGTGCGCCGCGTGTGGACCGTGTTTTCTCGCGTAAACCTCCTCCTGTTCACCTCTAAACCAGAACTAATCCAGGACTAAACCAGGACTAATCCAGGACTAAACCAGGACTAAACCAGAACTAATCCAGGACTAAACCAGAACTAATCCAGGACTAAACCAGGACTAAAGCAGGACTGAACCAGGTTTAAACTAGGACTAAACCACGACTAAACCAGAACTAAAGACCTGGTCTAGACCTGGTCTAAACCAGGTCTAAAAATCAGGACTAAACCAGGACTAAACCAGGTCTAAACAACATGACACCTAACAGTAGGTTGACATAATTTAAGGTGATCTCATGTAAAAAATAATTTCTCTATCAATAATATTTTTTAATATGGTTAAGGAAAGACTGATCTTGTTTCTGTCTTTTAACAGACTAAACCTCTTATATTAAGATCTCGTGGTCTTTGTTTCTCTACAGTAAACAGATGTTTATTCATGGAGACTTGGGCTCAGACTATTTGAAGAAACAAACAAGAATTTTCAGGATGTGGTTGTTACATTCATGTCGTTTAAAAAAACATGACAATATCAAGTAATCCAAAGTAATCAGATTACGTTACTCACTTTAAGTAATTTAATGGATTATGTTACAAACTACATTTTGGGGTGTGTAATCTGTAATCTGTAGGGGATTACATTTTAAAAGTCACCTTCCCAACACTGTAAATCAGACATTTACTCTTTAAGTTCTTCAAGACTTGAGAAGTACTTTTCCCAAATAATTTTTTACTTTGACTTGAGTCATTTCCTTTGTACTTCTACTGGAGTAACATGTAAAGTAAATAACGTCTTTTACTCGAGTAGTTTTGTGTCATCCACAGCTCTGTCTGTTCCTCGTGTTTGCTCAGTTTTCCTCAACAAAAGTCGAGTTTTCAGAAGAAAATCTCTGAAGTGAAAAGTTCTTGTAGAAAAGCGCAGTATTTGAGACGAGGACAGTGACGGACTGAAGGTCTGACCCACTCACGTTGCTGTTGCTACGGTAACAGTTCTGGAGTTACTCACCTGTCGCCGCGTCCAACCAACAAGCACCTGTAAAACTAAATAAAATAATAAAACTAAAATGTGTCAAATAAAATAAAAAGTATATAAATAAAAATAAAAACACACAAAACCAGTAAAGAGCAGACAGGTGAGTTTCCCTCTGCACCTGAAAGTCTCAACATGAAACATAAAAGTGATGAATGTTTGAGGAGGAACACAGACGACGGACGTTTGTCCCACAGACACAAGAAAAGAAAAGCAGAACAAAAAAAGCAGAAGATTCACAGAGTCTGCGGAGGATAAACTTGTGAGAGGAACAAACACAACAGAGGATCTTTGGAGCACAGATCGTCTGAACTCGTGATCAGAGTGAGAGCTCCTCGTGCGGAGATGATCTGTGACCTGTGGACCCTTTTTACTTTCACTTTCCAAAGCCCCCGAGCCGAGACTGTGAGCGCGAGCTGCCCCTGGTGAGTCTCTGTGTGTTTGTGTGTTTTGTTTGTGTGTTTGTGTGTTTTGTTTGTGTGTCTAGTGCTGAAAGTTTGTGTCACATTTCACTTTTTCAAACGTGTTTTTCGCGCGTGAACGTGACGCGTCTCTGCGCTCTGATGCACTTTGAATGACGCACTTTCACCTCCACAAACTTCAGACACGATCACAGACTGGGTCAGTTTTGACCCTGAACACAAACACAAACACAAACACAAACGTGTTCCGAGTTTTTATTCAGTGTTAAACGGTTTTTGTCTCGGACTCTGGGGAGAGTCGCGCTCGTGCCTCGGGTCGGATGGGCGCAGTATCCGCTCGTGCTTGGGGGTGAACATTCTGTTCTGAGCCTCGTGCGTCGTGACGCAGTAAAGGCGCCAGTTCGTAGCTCTTGAGTTTTGTCGGTTTATCTTCCGTGATGTTCGTGGAAACGCGGCATTTTGTTTCGTGACTCGCTCCGTTCACTTCACACCAAACTCTGACACGCGCACGCTCCGCGGCTCATTCAACAGTGCGTAAGAAAAAAGTAAGAAAAATATATAAAAATATATTTCTACTCAGTGACAAAAACGAAGATAATTTGAGGTGAACATGACAAACAACATGGTGGTTGTTCTTCCTCCTCAGGTTTTCCACACGCCTGGAGCCTCACAGTTCTTCAGTGTCTTTCAGTGTTGTTCTGTTCTGTTCTGTTCTGTTCTGGACTCAGATGTTCTGTTCTGGACTCAGATGTTCTGTTCTGGACTCAGATGTTCTGTTGTTTTTCCTGTTTTCTGCTGTAGTTTCTCCTTCCAGACCTTCTCCAGCTCCAGCAGGTTTTGGATGAAGCCTCCACAGGGTCAGGAGCTTCATGTGTGTCGGTGTCTCGTCCTTTGGTCAGTGCTTCCTGCTGGGATCTGATGACTGAAGGAGTCGAGTCGTTCATGTCCTGGACCTTGTTGTTCCACTGAGCTTCTTCTCAGGACTCGTGTCAATCTGCAGGTATTTGACCGTGATCCAGGTGTCGTTCGTTCATTTGTTTTTCGATATAAAACCAAAAATAAGAAAATGAAAAAAACAAATATTTTCTTCATTTTTTGTCTCCAAAACCAAAATGAAAAAAAAAACAAAAAACAAACAGATAAAGATTCGTTTTTTAGTTTTCAGTTTTATGTTTAAATGAAAAATGGAAAAAACAGATAAAGGATTAAACCAGGACTAAACCAGGACTAAACCAGGACTAAACCAGGACTAAACCAGGACTAAACCAGGACTAAACCAGGACTAAACCAGGACTAAACCAGGACTAAACCAGGTCTAAAACCAGGACTAAACCAGGACTAAACCAGGACTAAACCAAACTAAACCAGGACTAAACCAGGACTAAACCAGGATTAAACCAGGATTAAACCAGGAACTAAAACTAAACCAGGACTAAACCAGGACTAAACCAGGTCTAAACCAGGATTAAACCAGAACTAAACCAGGACTAAACCAAGTCTAAAACCAGGACTAAACCAGGTCTAAACCAGGACTAAACCAGGTCTAAACCAGGACTAAACCAGGTCTAAACCAGGACTAAACCAAGTCTAAAACCAGGACTAAACCAAGTCTAAAACCAGGACTAAACCAGGATTAAACCAGAACTAAACCAGGACTAAACCAGGTCTAAACCAGGATTAAACCAGGACTAAACCAGGACTAAAACCAGGTCTAAACCAGGACTAAACCAGGACTAAACCAGGACTAAACCAAGTCTAAAACAGGACTAAACCAGGACTAAACCAGGTCTAAAACCAGGACTAAACCAGGACTAAACCAGGTCTAAACCAGGTCTAAACCAGGACTAAACCAGGACTAAACCAGGACTAAACCAGGTCTAAACCAGGACTAAACCAGGACTAAACCCTAAACCAGGACTAAACCAGGACTAAACCAGTCTAAAACCAGGACTAAACCAAGTCTAAAACCAGGACTAAACCAGGATTAAACCAGAACTAAACCAGGACTAAACCAGGTCTAAAACTAAACCAGAACTAAACCAGGACTAAACCAGGACTAAACAGGACTAAACCAGGTCTAAACCAGGACTAAACCAGGTCTAAACCAGGACTAAACCAGGTCTAAACCAGGACTAAACCAAGTCTAAAACCAGGACTAAACCAGGTCTAAACCAGGTCTAAACCAGGACTAAACCAAGTCTAAAACCAGGACTAAACCAGGTCTAAACCAGGTCTAAACCAGGACTAAACCAGGTCTAAACCAGGACTAAACCAGGTCTAAACCAGGACTAAACTAGGTCTAAACCAGGACTAAACCAAGTCTAAAACCAGGACTAAACCAGGTCTAAACCAGGACTAAACCAGGACTAAACCAGGACTAAACCAGAACTAAACCAGGTCTAAACCAGGACTAAACCAAGTCTAAAACCAGGACTAAACCAGGTCTAAACCAGGACTAAACCAGGACTAAACCAGGTCTAAACCAGGACTAAACCAGGACTAAACCAGGACTAAACCAGGTCTAAACCAGGACTAAACCAAGTCTAAAACCAGGACTAAACCAGGTCTAAACCAGGTCTAAACCAGGACTAAACCAGGTCTAAACCAGGACTAAACCAGGTCTAAACCAGGATTAAACCAGAACTAAACCAGGACTAAACCAGGTCTAAACCAGAACTAAACCAGGACTAAACCAGGACTAAACCAGGTCTAAACCAGGACTAAACCAGGTCTAAACCAGGACTAAACCAGGACTAAACCAGGACTAAACCAGGTCCAGGACCAGACTGGGACTGAAAACTGTTCAGTCCTGGTTCAGTCCATTATCCATTTTTTTTTTTTTTTTTTTTTTTTTTTTTCATTTTTCATTTAAACACAAAATAGAAAACTGAATAATCGAATCTTTATCTGTTTTTTTTTTTCATTTTGGTTTTGGAGACAAATAATAAAGAAAAATGTTGTTTTTTTAATGTTCTTATTTTTGGTTTTGTACTGACACAGATCGGTCGCTGTCAGTGGACAGTGAAATGTGACGGAGCAGATCTGTGTCCAGACACAGATCTGCTCCGTCACATTTAACCACAGCTGAATGTGTTTCATTTCAGGAGAATGGACAAGAGACCAGAACCAAACCAGGACTCTAACAGGTCTGAAGCAGGACCAAAACCAGGACTCTAACAGGTCTGAAGCAGGACCAAACCAGGACTCTAACAGGTCTAAAGCAGGTCCTGGTCCCAGCGGAGTCTCTCTGAGCAGTGACAGGTCCAGAGGTTTGGGCATCAACTTTAAAAAAGACCAAAGTGGAGCCTCTGCACAGCTCAGGTCAGTGTCACACAGCTCAGGTCAGTGTCACACAGCTCAGGTCACACAGCTCAGGTCACACAGCTCAGGTCAGTGTCACACAGCTCAGGTCAGTGTCACACAGCTCAGGTCACACAGCTCAGGTCAGTGTCACACAGCTCAGGTCAGTGTCACACAGCTCAGGTCAGTGTCACACAGTCAGGTCAGTGTCACACAGCTCAGGTCAGTGTCACACAGCTCAGGTCACACAGCTCAGGTCAGTGTCACACAGCTCAGGTCACACAGCTCAGGTCAGTGTCACACAGCTCAGGTCAGGTCACACAGCTCAGGTCAGGTCACACAGCTCAGGTCAGTGTCACACAGCTCAGGTCAGTGTCACACAGCTCAGCTCAGGTCACACAGCTCAGGTCAGTGTCACACAGCTCAGGTCAGTGTCACACAGCTCAGGTCACACAGCTCAGGTCAGTGTCACACAGCTCAGGTCAGTGTCACACAGCTCAGGTCAGTGTCACACAGCTCAGGTCACACAGCTCAGGTCAGTGTCACACAGCTCAGGTCACACAGCTCAGGTCAGTGTCACACAGCTCAGGTCAGTGTCACACAGCTCAGGTCAGTGTCACACAGCTCAGGTCAGTGTCACACAGCTCAGGTCACACAGCTCAGGTCAGGTCACACAGCTCAGCTCAGGTCACACAGCTCAGGTCAGTGTCACACAGCTCAGGTCACACAGCTCAGGTCAGTGTCACACAGCTCAGGTCACACAGCTCAGGTCACACAGCTCAGGTCAGGTCACACAGCTCAGCTCAGGTCACACAGCTCAGGTCAGTGTCACTATTAAAGGTTTTCATAAAGTCGGTCTCTCGAGTTAAAGGGCCTGTTCCATCAAAGGTCTTTAACAAGTCGACTCAGCCTGAAATCCTGAACTGGAACTAAGTCCAGATCAAGACTCAAGTCGATCCACGACACAAAGAAACCTGAGTCTGAATATAGAGCTGTGAAAAAAATATTTGCACTTTTCCTAATTTCTTACTTTTCTGCAGGTGTGTCAGGGCTGCTGAAGTGTTTTTGACAGGGGGAGTTGTGAAAAAGTTTTTCTTTTTTGAAATCCTCAGCCTATAGACTCAGACCACCAGTAGAGCGCCTTGTAAAATCAGCACATTCTCGAGTCGTTCCTTTAATTTTAACAACAGAGACATAAAGACTCAGGGCTTCAGCTGCAGCTTTATCAGATCCTGGTTGAAGCGGGGAGCGGTGTGAGGAGCCTCGGCCTGAGAAGAACTTTCCCCGGGAAGAACCAAGTGCAGAGGACGGACGGACCCTCAGAACAACATAGAACCAACCAAACTAGATTCACACTTCTGTCCGGACGCTGCACCACCTCAGAACCAGTGGCAGTCGAGCGCGGAGGAACCAGAGCACAGATGACGACACGGAACCTTGAGCATATTACATGTTGATTTTTATTTTTACGATTCTGACAATTCACTGAACACACCACACTTGCCCTCAGTCTGCTCCACTCACCTGATGTTCAGACACAACACACCTCCTGTTTAGAACTCCACACCCCACACCTGCACCAGCGCTGAGACTGGGGGCAAGATACAGCCCAAAAAGTAAAAAAAACCAAACAAACAAAAAAACCCACCTAATTTTCTTGTATTAAATTGAGTCAAAATCCTGTAGAAATGTGTTTTAAGAATAATTTTTTCACTGAATCTTCACCACTTGTGTTCTTTACATCTGGAATTTACTGGCAGCTCACCAAC